AGTGCCGGCACTGTACTTCCCATCTCCAGGACTCAAATCCGACCTGCCGGTTTCCCTGAATCCCTTCATAAATGTTACCATGATCACACTCCAACAGCACGTCAAGTCCCAAAAACCATTTACCTCCATTCGCTCCTATCTAACACGTTTACGCATGCTTGCGTGAACGTGTTAGATAGGCCGACCCCTACTCCGCCTTTCCTCAGTCAAAGATTTATACACTCTCAAAGTCATTCTATTTCGCTCCAACCTCTCTACATGTCTGAATCACCTCAACAACCCTTCTTCAGCCTTCTGGATAATAGTTTTGGTAATCTCACACCTCCTCCTAATTTCCAAACTACGAATTCTCTGCATTATGTTCACACCACACATTGCTCTCAGACATGACATCTCCACTGCCTCCAGCCTTCTCCTCGCTGCAACATTCACCACCCATATAAGGGTGTCGGTATAACTATACTCTCATACATTCCCCTCTTTGCTTCCATGGACAAAGTTTTTTGTCTCCATAGTCTCCTAAGTGAACTACTTACCTTTTTCCCCACATCAGTTCTATGACTCACTTCATCTTTCATAGATCCATCTGCTGACACGTCCACTCCCAAATATTTGAATACCTTCACCTCCTCCAAACTCTCTCCCTCTAATCTAATATCCAATCTTTCGTCACTTAATTTTTTTGTTATCCTCATAACCTTACTGTTTCCTATATTCACTTTTAATTTTCTTCTTTTACATACCCTACCAGACTCAACCACCAACCTCTGCAACTTCTCTTCAATTATTATTATTATTATTATTATTATTATTATTATTATTATTATTATTATTATTATTATTATTATTATTATTATTATTATTATTATTATTATTATTATTATTACAATCATGGGGGAGCGCTAAACCCGTAGGATTATACAGCGCATGTGGGAGGGGATGTAAGGTATTCTGACTCAATTCAGGGAACCAGAGCACAGATACAATTCCCTAGATCAAGAGCCTCTAACAAGCATCAAGGAACTTCTCTTGAGGGGCAACTTCACTTCAGAATCTCCCAAAGCCACAGTGTCATCAGCAAAGAGCAACTGTGACAACCCCCACTTTGTGTTAGATTCTTTATCTTTTAACTCCACACCTCTTGCCCACTCCCGAGCATTCACTTCTCTTACCACTCCATCTATAAATATATTGAACAACCATGGTGACATCACACATCCTTCTCTAAGGTCTAATTTTACTGGGAAATAATCTCCCTCTCTCCAACATACTTTAACCTGAGCCTCACTATCCTCGTAAAACCTCTTCACTGCTTTCAGTAATTTATTTCCTGTTCCATAAATTTTCAACATCTGCCACATTCAAAAGTGATGTAGTAGGATCATCTGTCCACTTATCAGATGAGGGTAAAAGCATCTCATCCAACTCTCTAAATATGACGTCTAAAGATAAAGCCAAGACGTCTTCTCTAGCACATCTTGTGAGTGTTCCAAGTGGCACTCCACTAGGAATCTCAAAGCAGGACTTTACTGAACTCCGAAGTAACTATCCATCCCTCACGAATTGCCGCAGGTTAGCAAGATCGAGAAAAGTAATCACAGGGAAGTACCTTTCTTTCATATTTGAGAATATAAATTTTATTCTGTATAAATCAGTTTTACAGAAAAAGTTAGATGAGGTAGACTGCTCTTTATTAGTTGTTCCTATTCAATGCAGGGAGAATGTTCTTGAAAGGGCCCATGACCTGCCAGGTGATCACTTGTCCCATCCTATGACTTTGCATGGCCTATAATGCCAGGCCTATACTCTGGCATCATAGGTCATGCCAGAAGTGCCAATTGTTTGCTAAACAAAGTAAAGAAAATGATCATATTTCCGGTATATCAGAGATGTTCCACCATTGAAAGGGGATATCCAGCCCTTGTGTGAGGGATGTCTAAACATGCATACTGCTTGTTGGGAAAAGTTAAATTTGGAGACAGATGCATCAATAATTAGTTCATTTCTCTGGCTGGTTAAGCCGTGACAGTCAGTTGAAATATTGTCTCGTGCAATACACAACTTTTTTTTTAATTTTTCCTTGCTAATTCTTCTTATATTCCTTGACTATAAGTCTTGGTATGATGGAGTGTGAGGGAAAAGTTCATTAGATAGGAGAGGTGGAAGTATGAATGAATTGTGGTGGTAGTTTGTTGGGCAGTTTGTTTGTTTTGTTAGGTGGGTAAATCGTTCCCTCTACCCCCCCCCTCCCCCTCCTTCTCGTTTTTGCATCCGGTGGGAGGAGATGAGTGTCCTTCCGACAGTCACTTGACTGTCGGTTCCCATCAAATCTGTAAGTATTCATTCCACTCCTGTTTTATTTCTTATGTGTTTGAATTAATTTATTTTCATCAAAAGCTTCACTCTTGTTTAGGTTTTTGTGCTGCAAATTCTTCCTGTCATGATCTGAATTTACATGGTGTAACATCATTTAATCCTCACCACTTCTTTTAAAGGCAGTAGTACGCTTATCGTGTGAGTGATTTCTCGAATGGTGTGTAATTTTGTGTTCATTTTAGCCATGATTATCGGCTCGGATCATCCAACACAGGCGAAATAAGGGCAGCATAAATCTTGAACAGATCTTACGATCAATCCGACATCTGTACCTACATTGGTCCCCTTTCCACTCGCAGCTGACTCGCTACACACCATTCTAACAGCTGTTCCCCAGTTATAACTCCACCAACGTTTCACGGTGGTTCTCTACTGGCGACTCAACTACTTCACAAGTGTTGTGGAGGTCAGAGGATCCCAGTACCTCTGTTCGTCAGAATCTCTACTCGTGTTGAGGTCACTGTCTACTCAGTGTCAAGAGTCACATCCACCTGTGACTCCCCATCATCAACGACTCAGCGTTCCAAACCAGGATTCAGAGCTACGTGCCGCCCAGAACATCTGCATAACACCAATCTCCACTCCGTATTGTGTACATATTAGCTTTGAGTCACTAATTATTTTTACATTTCATTTTTCATTTCTGTGCTTCAAGTAGGATTACTTTCATATTTAGGTGTTTTATATTCCTTACTAGTTTTACTTATTAATAAAATTGTTTATCTTATTATGTAATCATTGATTTTTCTATCTATTTATTTCCATAAGGAGGAACCAGCAACATCAAATACTCTTTGAGGTCTGATAGTGCTGTTAAACCTTCACAAGTTTTGGGAGGGAGAGGCACCTGATGAATAGATAGAAGGCATCACATGTATTAGTGTCTTTCAACATACCTTCCGCAAATAACCCACACATTGAAGACAGACGCATATAATGACGTTTCGCTCCTACTTGGACCATTTACACTCGAAGTTGAGGGGAACCATTATACATAGCAGAGGGGGGCAGGGACGGGAAAAAAGAGAGGAGGCAATGGAAAGAAGTAGTGTTAGAGGTAAAGCTGGTAGTGGAAGTAGCACTAAATTAATAGTGGTAGTAATAAGTAAAGGGAGTACTTGTGCATGGAAGGGTGAGTGAAGCGAGACAATAGTGGTCCAGTGGTTAACGCGACGGTCTGGAGTTTTGAGACTCTGATCGCGGGTTCAAATCCAACTCGCGGTATGGTTTGTTTTTTAATAGTAATAGTAGTAGAATAGAACGGTAGTAAAATAGTAGTAATGATAGTGATAGTAATGGAGTAGTGTAGTCGTAGAAGTTGAGGAAGTTTAAGTACAAGAGAAAGAACTAAAGGACAAAATGGACCTAGGCAGAAGAAGGGTAGACAAAGAAAATAGGAAAGGAGAAGAGGTAGGGAAAGGAGAAGAAAAAATCAGATCAAGTGAAGAGTTATCTGAAGTTTGGGGCGTTTGACAATATAATGAGAGAGGAGGGCATCCACAGAGACAGAGCCAGGAATCAGAATCATATTAGGAAAGCTGTGTATAAGGTATGCTTCTACAAGACAGTATCTGTGAAGGCTAGAAGAATGGTAGGTAGTTTTAGCAGAGGACCCATAAATAGGATAATTGTGATCTCTAACATGACAGAATAGAGCATTATTGGTGTCAATAAGTTAAACACTCCCTTTTATTATAAAGTCTGTCAGGAAGAAAGTGGCGTGTTTCTCTAAAGTACTGAATAGGACAAGAGGAGAAGGAAATACAGTAGACTCCGGAAGCATCAATAGCAGGAGGAGAAGTATGAACTAGATTACTGCGGAGGATGTTAGTTTGGCGAAAAGTAACGTTGATGTCTAAGGAACGGAGAGAATTATTGATATTAGAAAGTCTGAAAATATAGGGAAGCAAAGAATATGAGATTCCACATGAGTAGAGAGTTTGGGAGAAAAGAAAATCCGTTTAGCACGTGAGAGGCAGTGTTTATGAAATTTCCGAGTCAAGGAACTGAGGGGTCACAACTGCGGAGAGAAAGAGAGAATTAAGAATATTTTTCTTGATAGAGGGACTCCTCAAGGGAGGGTCCTTGATGCTGGTGAGGGGCTCTTGATCTAGGGAATTGGATCTGTGCTCCAGTTCCCTGAATTGAGCCTGAATACCTCCCATCCCCCCCACATGAGCTGTATAATCCTACAGGTTAAGCGCTCCCCATGATTATTATAATAATAATTGACAGAGGGAGCAGGGTGAGAAAATAATGAATGAACATACCACTGTGCATAGGCCTGAGATAAACGGAAAAAGAAAAGCCTATAACCGGGCGATGGACGTGTACATAAAGGAAAATAAGTAAATAGTTAAATTTATATTCAGCTTTTAACTTAATGGAAAAAACAAGATTTTAAAGGCATCGAAAAAATGGTTGGAAAACTCTAGAATCATGGGGCCAAAAAAAAAAAAAAGTCATGTACATAACGAAGCCAGAGCGAAGGATGCACACCAATAGTAGGAAGAACAGTCTTGAAGTATTCCATACATAGGTAAGACAGATATACAGGTAGATATCTACGTACCAGGTGTATACTTGTCTTCCGTACTCATTGTTTCTTTAGGTATGTTTAATATTCAAATCCAAAATTCTATTGCCAGTGTCAAGACACTGATAATATATCCAGCAGTGAGAATTACAAACATTCCCTGAAATAAAACATCCATATTACTCACAAAACTAAATTATTTCTTCATATATTTTGACATGTTAATTTAAAATCCAATATTGTTTTATTTATGTACGCATATATTGTAATTTTTATTTACAGCATTTTAAATCATTTACACGAAGCCGCTACAAATTATTTACATTTACACTGTAAATTTAAACAAAGAATTCGTTACCCAAACATTACTCAAAGATAATGAAGTCTTGACTGTTATCTTGGTAGGTGGTCGATAACACACAGAAAAGTTTGGTTCGTCTGTTTTTAACCACTGGAAGAACAGCCCAGCCTCTGTCATGGACATTATTCTGTGCATCGAAATATTAAAAGTTTATCCGTTTGCTATTAAAAAGTCAAAGAGGATATAATGAACACAGAGGAAAGTAAACACAAAAGGGAGAGGAAAAAAGCATTACTAATCCATCTATTATTCTATTTGGCTTAAATAACAAAAAGGCACAATACCGTGACTGGAACGATACACAAATAACCCGCACATAAAAGACAGAAGCTTACGACGACGTTTCGGTCCGACTTGGACCATTGACAAAGTCACACTCAGTGTGACTTTGTCAATGGTCCAAGTCGGACCGAAACGTCGTCGTAAGCTTCTGTCTTTTATGTGCGGGTTATTTGTGTATCTATTTGGCTTCTAAGAAACTCAGACTTGGATGTTACTCTCGCCCGGCTTTATCTTAGCTACAAATATCTCAAGGAGGTTGTACCACCTGCTAACGCAGATGGTTCGTACCACCTGCTAGCGCAGATGGTGTAACCTCTTTTAGATATTTGTTTTTTTCCACATGGATAATTATTTTCTCAAAAGTGTGTCATTGTATCCTGGGACTGGATCAGATTAATCCAAAAATAACGCATTTACTTAGACTGTTGAAAAAAATTCATAACCCATAAACTTGTTGAAATTCTAAGTAACAAATAAACTAACCTAATGATTTTGTGGCTGAATATATGTCTGCATAAGTAACTCTTGACGACTGTAACCAGATATAAACATGTGAGTAGTTCATTACCACTGTAGTTTCCTTAACTCTCAAAACTTCGAAGCCAAGTAACTGTACCCATTATGTATCCGCATTCAATTGACTATCTCGCACATAATAGATATGGAGTGCATAATATAGCAATTAAATTAACTTGGGAGATGAATAAGTCATCTATGACCAACATTTTGGTATATGTATGATACACAATACCGACAAGAGACGAGATGAAAAATTAGACACGTGAACATCTGGGTATCTTTATTGTAGGGGTTTTACCATCCATTGGCGTTATCAATACAATTTCAAGGAGATAATTGAAAGACAGAAGAAGTATCTACCAAAGTCGAGGTGATCGGTGCTTCAGTCTGGAAGTTCGTGAAAAGCACCGTAATCGTCTGGAGTCGGAAGCAATGACTTGAAGATTTGTTCTTTTAAACTAGTGTCTGCTGCAAGTCCCTCACCTGATGCCAGTATTAAAGCTCCAGTCTTCCTGCCTCCACACGACTACGGTGCTCTTCTTCAGCTTCCAGGTTGTGATGAATGGTTTCAAAAACCGACAAGTTGAAGATTGAGACACTTATGCAGCATATGGGAATCTTTATTCAGGAAACGTTTCGCCACACAGTGGCTTCATCAGTCCAATACAAAGAGGAAGGCGTAAGGAGAGGAGGAGTATGAGGTAATCAGTCGCCTCAACCTGGAGCGACTGATTACCTCATACTCCTCATCTCCTTACGCCTTCCTCTTTGTATTGGACTGATGAAGCCACTGTGTGGCGAAACGTTTCCTGAATAAAGATTCCCATATGCTGCATAAGTGTCTCAATCTTCAACTTCCAGGTTGAGGGACTCATTACCTCATGTTTTGTGCATTGTTCTTCTGTCTTCCAAATATGCCCTTAAGTTTGTATTGTTAAAGCCACTGGATGGCGAAACGTCTAAAGTGAAGATAGCCAGATGTTTCACATATATCTCGTTCTTCATAAACATCTCGATATCTTTATTCCCGAAATGTTTCTCCCACAACAGAGTTTTTCAGCAATAAACACATCCTCGTGCTGCACAGGTATCTCACTTATCAAATAAACTGAGGAAAGAAGGTGGCTAAAGAAGAGAATGGGTACGACAAAGAATAGACGACAATGATAAGGAGTAGATTAGAAAGGACAGAGAGGCAGAAGAAGCAAATAAAGGAGTAAAAGAGGGAACTGAGAAGGCAGAGTGAATGAGGAGGAGAGAGCAGAGGAGTGAGTGTCTGGGAACACTAGTAATAACAGCAAAAACATGAAACATAAACAAGGTTTAACAATGATAATAAAGAGAAAAATAGGACAGATGAATAAGAGAAGGAAAATTGAAGAACGATTTGAAAAAGGACTCATTACTAAAGGACATATTGTGCAATATTAGAATTTACTATGTACTTATACCTTTCATTAAGCGCCGGGATAATGGGGTGTCCCTTGGCACTAATCATTCCATACATCAAAGGCAGAAACTCTTCTCTTGATAAATAAAAAGAACACTTGCCTGCAAAATATTTTATATAAAAAATCAATATTTCATTGACAACTGGACTCAAAAATAAACTGGTAACATGATAAGTATTCGAATAAATTACAAACATATAAGAAATGTCCAATTAAAAAAACTGTGAACACTATATTAGATATCGCAGGAGTTAAATATCTATTACCTGTTCTAGTGAAGTCTTGTGCGATGTATGTCCTTAATCCATTGTCGACTTCCATGAGGACATAGTCACCTCGTCTTACTAAAGTGTTGATGTAATCTGTAAACTGTGCGTGAGTTCCCCACTTGAGGCGACCTACCTTCTCTGCCTCAGCCATCTCCAGATATATGCCGGACTCAGCTGACTGTAAACAAATGTTGAGAAGTGTTAAGTGCTACTAATATGAAGGAAGTCTGAAAGTTTTGTGACTCTCTGATCGCGGGTTCTAACCCCACCCGTGGTATGGTCTGTTAGCAATGATGTAATGACGATTTCGTGAGTCGAGTCTGAAAGGCCTGCCGGGTTAAAAAAAAGTACTTAAGAAGCTATTTATCACTTCAGTGCCTAAAAGTTACTTCGGTTTCTTAACTAAAGAAACATTTCATCCACAACAGACTTATTCAGTCAAGCACAGGTTGTCTTGCGTATATGTCGTGACGAATAGGTAAAACTGATCAATTAGCAAGAACTCATTTAAAATTAAGATATATTTTTATCATTTATGTTAATGTAAAAATTAATAATTTTGCACCAAAAGTGCCTTAGAAAACTTACCTAACCATAAATTAACAAGCGTAATTTAATTTAGCCTAATCCAACTAAATATATTTTAGATACGTTTACAATAATTTAATAATAAACACAAAGAAATATTTTTTTCTCGTTAGGTTTAGAATTATTTTTGCAAAATTATTGCATACACAAATTTGTCGTTTGCCTTATTCAGCAAGCAAAGCGTTGCTATTTAAGCCAAAATCGCAAGTTTTACCTATTCGGCACGACATCATATATATTTTATTTTATTTTATTATCACACTGGCCGATTCCCACCAAGGCAGGGTGGCCCGAAAAAGAAAAACTTTCACCATCATTCACTCCATCACTGTCTTGCCAGAAGGGTGCTTTACACTACAGTTTTTAAACTGCAACATTAACACCCCTCCTTCAGAGTGCAGGCACTGTACTTCCCATCTCCAGGACTCAAGTCCGGCCTGCCGGTTTCCCTGAACCCCTTCATAAATGTTACTTTGCTCACACTCCAACAACACGTCAAGTATTAAAAACTATTCGTCTCCATTCACTCCTATCAAACACGCTCACGCATGCCTGCTGGAAGTCCAAGCCCCTCGCACACAAAACCTCCTTTACCCCCTCCCTCCAACCTTTCCTAGAGGGAGGGGGTAATATATATATATATATATATATATATATATATATATATATATATATATATATATATATATATATATATATATATATATATATATACACAATGTTTGTATGATTTTTGGATGTGTTTTTCGATCGGAAATTAATTTATATCTGCATTTACAAATTACTTTTTTTTTTAGACAGTTGCTCTATATAAGGTTGAGTGGGGACGAGGCAGAGCAGAGTGATGTGGGTGACAAAGTGAAGGGTTGGCGATGACGCTGGCAAAAAGGGTTTATGATGGTGAACAATTAGATGGGTGACCAGGAAAAAGGGAGACATTGTGCACCCTCCCTTGGACTAGACAAACCTTAGGAAGACCTCCCAAGGAAAACCTTTCAGATGTACTTCTCTGGGAAGACCTCTCATAATAGGACTTTTAGGTTCTTATTCCAAACACTGGAAGCATTCCAAGGACGATATCACAGGTATACCTGTGTGCAGACATCTCAGACTATGCAACCCTCGGTGACTATATAGATATACGTCCAAGAAGGAAGCATGCCAGGGTAGGCATACTGACCTACATATTTAGTTTCATCTCAGCTCCCTTACCATATTTCCTTTCTTCATCTCCAGAGACTAATAACTTCGTAAGTACTTATTAATATATAATGTCTTTCACATAATTTCTGCATTTTTTCCTCGTTAGGTCATTTTTCCATTATAAATATCGAGAAAAATAATTAGACGAACTTAACATTGGCCTAATATAAGGAGTCAAGAATTTTTATATAGTGCTGAATTAAATTTGACAATTCTTTTACACACGTGCAAATAATTCTCAACAGCTGAGCCTTTCAAAAATATCATGGAAGCAGAAGGGTCGTCGAGCACTTGTCTCCTGGACTGGTAAGGTTGAGAGATGTGTCTCACTGCTAGGAGAGCCAGAAGGTTGCCAGAGTAACTCCGTGTTAACACCAGCGTCACCATCATCCACACCACCAACATTATCCTCTCCCACCACCAGAACGTCGGTACCATTGTATCTGTTTTGATTTAATAACAAAAAAATCTCAGTTTACTCTAATGAGACACAAGTGTATTATTCTTTCAGTCAAAAAAATTCATAATTTTTTCTTTCATAACATATTAGCAGTAAACTAGATAATATATTTATAATTTACAGATGATGAATATGTTTTAAATGTATTATTTTAACAGAGATAATCAGACTGTAGAAATAATCCACAGGAAGTAAGCTTATTAAGCTTGATAATCGGATTTTACTATTCAAATAATCAATATATTCACTGACTCGTTTATCAAATTAAACAATAAATGCTACTCAACATCACATATTGTCTCCTTAAAACATTTTTCTCAAGACTTTTAAATTTTCCGTGAAAGGTTTTAATAAAAACTTTATTTTTTTTTTTTCTGAATTTTTTTTCATTTTTCACATTTCAAATCTTACATCAAAATATCTAGTTTAAAAACACGTTGAGATTATTCTCTAAAATTTTTTGGCTTCGCCCTTATTTTTTAAAGCAATGTTAACTCTCTGAACAAAAGAAAGGGGAAAAATTTTTCTTCACAAACTATAACAATTTTTTTTTAAGTAAACCCTGAATATTTGATCTGACAAAGATTATTTTTTATTTTTTTAAAAATTTTGCCGGTATTTTCCCGGCCCCGGGGCCCTTTTTCCCAAATGGTGGCCCCGGGCCTTTGGCTCCCTCTTTAGGGGTGTCTGAGACCTAATCCCCATGGAGGAGGCACAAGACTCCTCATCTTTGGGACCAACTTCCCCCGGCCCAGCCCCAAGTGGCCTCTCTGGTCTGCCCTCCCCGCCACAAGGGGCTAATGGGAATACAGTCTTTTGAGCAAAGGCTGGGGCTTTAGCACCCCCTACCCTAGAAGGGGTGGGCATGGTGTCGATTTGCAATGATTTTCAACTTAAGTTAAAATAAAAAAAACTTTTAGCAATTCGATTTTTTTAATTTATTTATATTAAGTATTTTTTTGACTACGTATTGCTTCAATATTGGAAAATAGTTGAGTTAAAGAAGCATTTCAGTGTTAAAAATACAAAAAATTACAGGAAAATTATCATTAAGTAAAAAAATTTAAAGTCCATTGTCGGGAAAAGGTTAACATAAATGGCGCCGCTTTCACTGAGTGAACGTTGCTCTTCACAGTAGTAATGACTCTCTGAGTAAAATTTCTCTTTCACGTTAGATCGACTTACTGAGGAACGTTGCTCTTCACGTGGACGACTTACTGAGTGAACGTTTCTTTACACAGTATAGAGCGCTCTACTGATGGCGTTGCCTTACACAGTATTAGACGACCTATGATGGGCGTTTCCTTACACAGTAGTGGCGCCTTTTACTGGTGAAAGTTTCTCTTTTCACAGTATAGAGCGATCTCTGGTGGCGTTTTCTCTTACACAGTATTAGAGCCGGGCTCTATGGTGAACGTTGCTCTTAACAGTAGTAGGCGACTCTACTGGGAACGGCTCTTAAAAAGTTGTAGAGCGCTCTTGAGTGAGCGTTGCCCTTTTTCCCGAAGGGAATCTACTGAGTGAGCGTTGCTCTTACCAGTATAGAGCGATTACTGAGTGAACGTTGCTCTTAACCCGTGTAGATCGACTCTTGATGGGGCGTTTTCTCTTACACATAGTAGAGCGACTCATGAGGAACGTTGCTCTTACACGTAGTAATCGACTCTATGAGTAGCGTTGCTCTTCCAGTATTGAGCGACTCTTGGTGAAAAGTTGCTTTACTCAGTAGAGTCGCTCTACTGGTGAGCGTTGCTCTTTACCAGTTTGGGGGAAACCCTACGAGGAAACGTTGCTCTTACACTTTTTAGTGACTCTACTGGTGGCGTTGCTCTTAACAGTAGGAACGCCTACTGAGTGAGCGTTTCTCTTACACAGTGTAGTCGATCTCTGAGTGAGCGTTGCTCTTACACAGTAGTTTAAGAGCGCTCTACGGTGAGGTTGCTCTTACACGGTGATCGACTCTTGAGGAACGTTGCTCTTACACAGTATGAGCGACCTTCTGAGTAGCGTTGCTCTACACGTTGTAGGCGACTCTACTGAGTGAGCGTTGCTCTTACACGTAGTAGAGCGACTTACTTTGGGGGCGTTGCTCTTACACAGTAGTAGAGCGATCTAAATGAGTGTGGTTCTCTTCACAGAAATAGACGACTCTATGAGTGAGGTTGCTTTTTCACTAGTTTGAGGGCTTACTGGTGAGCGTTGCTCTTACACAGTTAGAGGCGAATCTCTGAGGTGGGGTTGCTTTTCCGTAGAAAGCGCTCTACTGGGGGAAAGTTGCTCTTACCAGTATAGAGCGACTTATAGTGAGCGGGGTTTCTCTTAAAACAGTAGTGAGCGTCTACAGAGTGAGGTTGCTCTTACACAGTAGTAGAGCGGTCTCTGAAATGAGCGTTGCTCTTACACAAAGTAGAGCGACTCTATGAGTGGGTTTCTCTTTAAAATAGTAGAAACGACTTCTGAGTGAGCGTTGCTCTTACACAGTAGTAAGCGACTTACTGATGGGTTGCTTTAAAAGTAGGAGCGACTTACGGTGGCGTTTCTCTTACACATGAGAGCGACTCTACTGATGAACGTTGCTCTTAACGTTAGGCGACTCTACTGATGAGCGTTTTCTCTTAACAGTAGTAGAGCGACTCTACTGATGGCGTTGCTCTTAACAGTGTAGAGGACTACTGAGTGAGCGTTGTCTTACACAGAATAGAGCGACTTATGATGAGCGTTGCTTTTACACAGTAGTAGAGCGACTTATGGAGAGCTTACTTCACACAGTATTAGGCGACTCTACTGAGTGAGGTTGCTCTTTCACTTAGTAGAGCAACTCTACTGTGTGAACGTTCTTTTTCACAGTAGAGAGCGAAACTACTGAGTGAACGTTGCTCTTACACGTAGTAGCCATTCCCACTGAGTGAGAGTGCTCTTACACAGTAGTAGAGGGCTTATGGTGAGCGTTGTCTTAACAGTATAGGCGCTCTACTGGCTGGAGTTGCCTTAAAAAGTAGCGAGCGACTTACTGAGTGAGCGTTGCTCTTAACAGTTGTGGCGACTCTCTGAGTGAGCGTTGCTCTTACAGTGTAGGCGACCTTTTCTGGGGGAAAGTTCTTTTACCAAAGCAAGAGGTCTAATGAGTGAGCATTGCTCTTTACCCGCGAGGGCCCCCTACTGAGTGAGCATTGCCTTGCACAGTAGTTTTAACGACTCATTGAGTGAGCGTTGCTCTTACAAGGGTTTGAGGTCCTCAGTAGCATTGCTTTGCACAGTGTAGAGCGACTTACTGAGTGAAAAGTTTCTCTTACACAATAGCAGAGGTCCTAGAGTGAGAGTTGCTCTTACACAGTTGCAAGCGGGTCTACTGGGGGGCATTTCTATACACAGTGTAGAGCTACTTACTGGTGAGCGTTTTTTAACAGGCAGAGCGACCCCTTGAGTGGAGCGTTGGGTTCACCCGTAGTAAACGACTTACTGAGTGAGCGTTGCCTTACCAGTGTAGACGATCAGGATGGCTTACTCTCAACAGTAGTAGAGGACTCTACGAGTGGCATTGCTCTTAACAGTGAGAGGACCTACTGAGTGAACGTTGCCTTACACAGTAGTAGCTCATCTTACTGGTGAGGAAAGCTCTTGCACAGTTGTGAGGACTCATGATGAGCGTTGCTCTTACACATAGTAGAGCGTCTCTATGAGTGAGCATTTCCTTTCACGTAGTAAACGACTTACTGATGAACGTTGCTCTTACACAATGGCGAGCGTCTCTACTGAGTGAGCGTTGTCTTACACATAGGAGAGGCTCTACGAGTGGGCATTACTATTACAAGATGAGTACCTACTGTGTGGCGTTGCTTACACAGTAGCGAACGACTCATTGGTGAGCGTTTCTTAAAAGTAGTAAACGACTCTACTGGGGAGCGTTGCTCTTACACAGTAGTAGAGCGACTCTACTGGATGGCATTACCTCACCGTGTAGGCGACTTACGAGTGAGCATTGCTTTACCAGTAGTAGAGCGCTCTACGATTTAACGTTGCTCTTTACACGTATAGCTCATCTCTATGAGTGAGAGATGCTCTTCACAGTTAGGCGACTCTACGAGGATCGTTTTCTTTACACAGTGTGAGCGACTTACATAGGTTGCTCTTAACAGTAGGAGAGGATCTACTGATGAGCTTGCTCTTTCACAGTTTCAGAGCGACTCTTTCTGGGTGAGCGTTTTTTTCTTAACCATGTAACGACTCTACTGAGTGGCTTGCTCCACATAGTAGAGCGACTTACTGGATGAGCATTACTCTCACACAGTGTAAGCAAAATTACTGAGTGAGCGTTGCTTTACACAGTAGTAGAGCGACTCTTTTGAGTGAACGTTGCTCTTTTCACAGTAGTAGAGCGACTCACTGAGTGAAACGTTGCTCTTCCCGTAGTAGCCATCTCTATGAAGGGGTGTCTTACACAGTAGTAGAGCGACTCATGAGTGAGGGTTGCTTTTCACAGTACAGGCGACTCTATGATGAGCGTTGCTCTTTTCACAGTTGGGGGCGCTCTGAGTGAACGTTTTCTTTAACAGAATAGCTTCCCACTGAGTGGCGTTGCTCTTTCACAGTACAAAGGAATCTACTGGTGAGCGTTGCTCTTTCACAGTATAGGCACTTACTGAGTGAGGTTGCTCTTACCAGTAGTGAGCGACTCTACTGAGTGAACGTTGCTCTTACACGAAGCAGGAGACTCTTGATGAGCGTTGCTCTTACACAGCAGTAGAGCGTCTACGAGTGAGCATTGTTTGCACGTAGTAGAGGTCTCTACTGATGAGCATTGCTCTTCACAGTAGTAGAGCGACTCTATAGTGAACGTTGCTCTTACACAAAAGCAGAGCGTCCTAGAGTGAGCGTTTCTCTTACACAGTCAGAGCGACTTATGGGGGGAGCTTACTATTACCGTAGTAGAGTACTTTCTGTGTAAGCGTTGTCTTTCACAGTAGCAGGCGACTCTATTGAGTG